ACCCTTTCTTCCGATATGGCTCCCTCACGAACAAATCCTCAATATAGAACCCGGGTTTCGCCAGAAACGTCGAATAGTTGGGGAAAAACAGCACAAACCCCGCCACAACGACGTCGCCTCCGATTTCGGATCGGAAAATGTCCTTCTCTGAGTCCTCAATGGGGAGGTCCAGATGGAAAGTTTTGAGAATAGGGGAAAAATTAGAGGGGTCCTGAGGAGTGGGTGGAAAGGGGTCAGGGGAGACTTCAAGGATGAAAACGGTGAAGGAAGTGAAGGGTGGAGGTGGGCTTGGGGAAGGGAAGAGAGTGAACGCGAGAGAGGCTTCGGTGGCGGAGAATTGATCGGTCAGGCGCTCGTAGGTGGCCATTTGGTGGATGAGCTTATGGAGTTGGGGGACATCGAAAATGGTGCCTAACCGGATGCGGGCAAAGAGTGGGTGGCGGGGCGGGGCGGTTTCTGGAACGATGGTCTCGGGAATGGCAGCAGGGGAGGGAGGTGGTGGCGGTGCTGCCGCTGCCATTTCTTTCTTATTACTATTTACTTTTTCGAGTTCAGAGAAAATGGAAGAGTCACACTGCGAGCTCTGTGCTGTGCGGTTTTTCGTGGGATTAGAGGTTTTGTAGTTACTTTGAGGGGTTTTTGCAGGCATATATGTAAACTTTGAGAACTTGAAATTGCTATTTTATTCCCTTGGGGACATTTTTGGATTTTCATTCATCTCCTTAGGTCCAATTTTGGGTTGATTAGTTATCGAATCAAGAACCAAGCAAATCAAGATCAAACAAACTCTTATCAAACTGAGTCCAATTCGATATCGAATAATTTAATTTATTTTTTAATCCTGTTAATATATAGTGTCTAATGATAATCTTATCAAATTGAGCTTCATTTTGAATATAGAATAATTTAATTCATCTTTCAATCATATCCATATATAGAGTGTTGCATCCATACTAGAGGAATCGCCAAAGGCCTTGTTTGGACAGCCATTTTCTGCCGAAAAATTGCGTCATTTCCGTAATCACATTTCTCTATTACATTTTTTCCTCACATACATCAAATCGCTATAGTAATTTTTCTACAAAAAATCCTAGAAAATGCAATCCAAGCACAATTTTAAACCATTTGGAAGTTCGAAAAAGCAACTCTGTCCCGTATTTCACCATGAAACTTTCACTTTATTATAGTGGAGTTCTCCAAATCCTACCAATCAAATATTCCTACAAACCAGGCATTGGCCAGGTCTAACAATGTGGATTTAGCTTAGACCCTTTAACAGGGTATTGGCAGATTTATTCCAGAAAAATATGCACAGGCAGGTTTCTTATGCAAAGAATTGGCAAGGATTTAAAGGGGGGAAAAAAAGGCCCTACTCCTACAATACTGCAGCCGCTGCTAGAGTTTCTCCTACCCAGGACCAGACGACATAAATGTCGCTTAGGGGGCTGGATACCATCTACTCTTTTCAAGAGTTTTTTTTTTTTTTTTCTAACATCACTACACTTCTATTTCCCTCCAAGTCACTGAAGTCAGTGAGCTTTAAGTTCTCCAAAGACATATAGTATTAAGATTTAGCTCTGCTCTTTCTGAGAAAGAACAACCATTTCCTTGTAAGAGAAATGGAGCAAACCTAAATTCCCCGTGTGGTGAATCTTTTTAAAGTGGTGCGTCCAAACGAAATGGAGGAAACAAAACCTTCTGCAGCAACTTCACAGGACCCATAACAAGAACTTGTTGCTATTTTACAAGTTACACATATACCTCACTTGCCTCGTGGGGTGAATCTTCTTAGTTAAGTGAAACAAAATGGTAAGGACACACGGACATTTCAAAAAATGGACAAAAAATAAAATGGAGTATGGAAAATAGAAAATGAAACAATAAGATGATCCTCGAAGCAGTGTAATAAATTCTGCCAAAACAGATAATAGCAACTCTCACTTTTTCATCAAACTGATACATTCCCCGGCTATTGTACAGGAAAATACCATTGGTAATACAATGGAAAAGCCACCTGCAAACAATTACAGAGGAGGATTAAAGCCCTCTCTTGCTGAAGGTGACCTGGACCCTGTGCTATCCCTGCCAAACCTTGACATACTCCTCCCACTTTTAGGAGTGCCCATGCCTGGACTTGAACCCCGATAACTTGCTCGGAGGGATTCATCAACAGCATGAGAAGATTTTGCAATTGCGTTTCGCACAAATTTTTGAGCAGCAGGAGAGAGAGTTCGTGCACTGGGACTAGCACTTCCCCCTCTAACTGGTGAGGGCAACGGTGGTTTCTGAAACATTTTTGACCTCTCCCTCAACTTACGGGCAGCCTCCCTAGACAAAGAGTGAGCCTTAACATCCCTTGAAGGTGCCATTGGGATCTTAAACTGTGGCCCATCTCCGCTACCGCCAATATCAATAGGCGTATCCTCTGACTCCAACCTCAATGGCGTACCTTCAATTTCACCCCATGTTATAAATGGCGACTCATCCACACCCGGAGCAGGCGATGGAGTCCTAACGAAACTGTAACCATTCTCTGCCTTCTTCCCCGACTCAACATAAAATGGATTGGGCGTCTTCCTCAAATCTTCCAAATCATACTTCTTCACCTTATCGCCATCCCTAACAGACAGAGGAAATGGCGTGGCCCCAGCAACCGGGGTATAAAGCACCTCAACCGCATCATCTTCTTTCTTGTAATTGACCACTTTACCCCGGAACCTCGTGTTAGTCCTGTTAATCTCCTTGGTCAATCCCTTGAGCCTCTCAGCCATCTCCTCCTCCGTCAAGGGGGCTTCACCCCTATCCGCTGGATGATACATCAACAAATTCTTGGCAGTGTACTTCCACCCTTCCAACGTAGCCACAGGCTGATCAGACGTTCCAAACCCATCCGTTGCAACGCGCTCCCTCTTCGCACCCTCAATCAACTTCACATCCCCTTCCTTTTCGCCTTCCAACAAGAACCCAAACCTCTCCTTCCTCTTCCTATTTACTTTCTCCATAATCTTGGAAAAACTCTCGTTATCCTCACTCGTATACCTCCTGAAGAACTCATCTAACGTCAACGAAGTATCCACCTCGCCCTCCCCATCACTCCCATCACCCAAACGTTCGCCAATCGTGGTCCTATCGCTCCCTACCCCGGGACCAGGGGTGGTTCTATGCTCGTTGAACTTTCCAGCACTATTTTCATCAAAACCAAAAGGGGTAAAACTAGAATTTCTGAAAAAAGTGGAACCAGGGGTTAGGGTGTGCGTCCGTGATTTAGTACTAGTACCTGGATCAATCGAGGATTCCCCGGCGCTGCCGCGGCGGCGTTCGAGGATTTTCAACTGGGCATCTCGGATTAGAACCGGGTCGCCAGAGCGGACGGCTTCGAGCCAATCGAGACGGTCCCGGAGCTTGGGGATATCGGGGAAAAAATCGCGTTCGATGATTTTCTCAATGGCGGCGACGTAGGAATCTTCATCGAGGACTTTCGGTCGCTTTGGCTGCCTGATTGAAGGAGCAGAAGTAGGAGCTGTAGTAGTTGTGGCAGTGCTATTATCACTAACGGAACTGGGGGTTTCCGGTGCCGGTGATGGGGAAGGGAGGTGGCGAGGGGAGTGGCCGGGCGATAAAAGCATGGTGGTGGCGGCGGAATGGAATTGGTAGAGACAGTGAGGGAATTAGGGATTTGGTGGGAATTGGGGAAATTGTATTAACTGCAGAATTGAAAGGATTTGAGCCCCAGGATTGCGAGTTCCAACCCAACCGACTTCCAAGTTCCAAGTGGTGGGGTGGGGCTCGTAGTCGTGGCAACTGCCAAGCCGGCGTCTTACAGCTTTAGTCCGTTCCCACAGAATGACCTGTATTTTTCTATTTCTTCTTGTTTAAAAAAAAAATTAGTGGTAAAAATGGTAGTATAATAGAAGTGGAATTTTCAAACTCCGACGTGAAAATCTCTACAATTACAATTATAAGAGACTATAAAAAGTTGCAAAATATGCATTGGACAATTTTACGGATTTGGAATGGATGGAGTCAATCCCAGTGTGAGACTAGTCTCACAGGCTGTATGGCATAGAAACTTTGGATACCAACGGATGTTGGTGCAAGTGAAAGGGGGTTGCATCCGTTAATCATGAGGTTTTGGGTTCGAAATTCATGGGAATAGAAAAAATAACGTTTGGAGAACTTCCTTCTACAAGGGGTCTGATCCGACTCGAACAAGATTAATCGCAAACCGTAAAACGGATGCGGACACCTATGAATTATACCTAAAAAAAAATAGAAATTTTGGATATTTGCTCATTACAAGTGTAGATGTTTATATTGTCTTGATAAATTTCAGTTGCCATTTTGACAAAAAATATATATATATATAAAAATAAAGCGAGTAAAAAAGTACTAACAGAACTCTACAATTAAAGGAAAAAAAGAAAAAGAAAAAGGTGGAACAGTTTTTTCTCCGCACTCTTTTCATCCCCCATTCCCATTGCCAGACTTGGTATTTAAACTCTGAATTTGACTAGGAGATCAGTCTTCATGTGGTCACTAGACCACCTAGTTGAACAAATACAATTAAATTTTAGATTTATTGTTATTGAATTTTTTTAAAAAAATGAACTTGGGCCGAGTTAGCGACGTACTACTTTTCGGTTATGAATCTCGTTTTTCTGATTTCGAGTCTTGAAAGTATTCCTAATGGTACTTCCTTGAACTTCTAACCCATGCATCATGCTTTCCAAACCTTAATCAAAGTATGGCTGGACAGGAATTGGTCAAAAAATGGCAACCTCCTGAAACAGAATCACTGGAGATGCAGCTTGGACAGAAGAAGAACCAGGAACCGGTATTCTGGTCAGAAATGACGAAGGAGAAATCATGGTTGCAATGGCTGAAGGGATTGGCAAGATCATGTCTATTGCGTTGGCAGAACTGGCTGCAACAAGTACTGGTTTGCAGTGGGCAAATGCTGCGTTAAGCACTGGTTGCATTAATGTAAATGCTGCTTTTTGTGATATGAACGGGTAAAAAGTTTCTTTTTCCCTCAAAAAGAGAAAAACCTTAATCATCTTTTTTTCTCAAAAACCAAGCAAGGCCTGCGTATGCATGTTTAAGCCTTGTTAATAAATTAGCCAACTATAAAAACAGGGAATAATAATGAGTGCCTGTTACTCCCCTACACAAGCTAATCTAACTAACGTTACAGAGAAGCACGGATTAACAACAGGACCACCTGCTGTTGTGCTACACTCTCTACTCCAACTAAATGCATGCGCATGCAAAACATTTGAACCGAATAACAATGGACCTGTAAATTATGAGCAGAGACGTCAGTGAGGCTCAATGATACTTCTTTCCCATTTGAATACATCAAAATTTTCCACATCTTGCAGTGAAAGAAATTGCGAACATAGAGAATTATTTCCAAGTTTCTTCAAAATCAACACCAGGAGCTTTTGGCACGCATGAATTTCTTCCAATTTCTCTACTGCAGCACGCTTCAAGGAAAGATCTCTCCAAGGCTGGTAGTATGACCTGTACAAGCAGATTGATGATGGAAAAAGCAGCACAACCAAATGAATATCTGCTATTCTGTAGGTTGCAGAATTGGGCAAAAGTGAGAGGAAATGTAAGAGAATAAAACAATGTTACCATCTCCACGAAGGATTAGCTTCAGCTGGGCTGTGTATCTTCTGGCAGAGTGATACCCAAGGACTACCATCGCTATGTCGAGAGTCTGAATCTGACAAACAACACGACAAAAAGCAAAGACTTAGAACTATTATCAACTTGTAGTGCCAGGCTAGAAAAACGACCACTTAAAATTGGGTAATTTTGAGAGCCTTCACAGTAAATTGGGCTGCAAATCCCTAAATGTAGGACCTCAAATCACAGTTCATTCGCAAGCAAATTTCTAAGTTAAAGAACTTGATGAAAGAGCTTCAGGATATAGCATCCAAATTGGACTTTACACATGTTAGGAACTTCCAGCATTGTAATTGCACTAAGCTGAATATTTATTTAATCGACTGAACCAGGTCACAAGAAAGGTATTAAGCGTCAGCAGCAACTTTCCAAAAAAAATTTTTCTTTTTGACTGAACCAGGTCACATGAGAGGTAGTAAGAGTCAGAACCCCGGTACCACCAAAAGCAGGAAAGTTTAATCCCAGGACTTGTTTTCCCACATAAATAAAAATCCCATTTCATGTCAGCAAAATGCCCACTTTACATGGAACTAAAGCATGGAAAGGAAAACAATTCCTGAGACCGCAGGTTCAAGCAAAAGCACTGGAAATCAATACATTAACATTCCTCCTTAAAGACACTAGCAGGCAAGAAGCAAGGTTTTGTTCCTCTAAACTTTTAATTATATATACAAGCAGATGTCATGTCAATGGGAAAAACAACCAACGTTATAAGATAGAAATTTATAGACGCAAAACTGTCTAATACTAATTCATGCAAGAATAGACTAAACCTGATGAGGAGGGACCAGAAAATAACAGGAGAGAAAGTGCAGCAACAACTGATGGAAGAAAATTCCACTTTATGCCTGCAAGCTGCTGTAGGTAAAAATTGATACAGCTAGTATCTCTTTGCTGCCAAAATTCTCCTGGTTTTCTCCACATTCCTTCACACAATAGTCCATGATACAATGCAGATTATCAAGCTTTAATATTTCAGAAGAACTAGTGGAATTCAAATCACTCAATTTCCATGAAAGCCTTCCAAGAATCACTGAGGCAGTCAGCCATCTTAAAAGCTTTGATACAAGATCCTCTTCAGATTGTTCTGAAAATCTCAAGGCATTGCTATACATTGCTTCAGATTCAGGCACCTCCATCAAGTTTGACTGCACAGCAGTTGATATTGCCCAGCTAACAAACTTCAAAAGCTTATTTTTATCCTACAAGCACATCGAAGTAATAGGTCATCTTAAGGAATAGAAAAAGATAAGCAGGGTCTAATCACAAATATGAGAAGTTGATGGTTGAACTCTTATGTCTTGTTCACTACATATAGAGTTTCATGAGGTAAAGCACTTGTGAAGTGCCATTGCTCATCTTTCTCAATCATCACCAGCTAGCTAGTAATGCCAATCACAGTCTCATGATATACTATAAGGACTTGAAATAATTGACCTAGTAAATCAATGCATACATGTGCATGTGGAAAATCCATACATGGGAAATTCCAATTCTGTACAATGAACTCAATCAACTTTTTACATCAGAATTTTTACACAATCTCAGCCACTTACAGACCATGTCATAGTCAAAAAACATTGACATTTCTGTACATGTGCATGGTTTGACAAAAGAAGCTGGTGTTCAAATTCAACCACCACAATAGCAAAGGATATGCAATTTGTCTACTACAATACAATTGCATCACATCATTCTCAAAATTTTAAGGGGCCCAAACAATTTTTCACATCAGACAATCTAGATATAATCAGCCACTTAGAGATCATGTCACAGTCAAAAACATTGACACTTCCGTACATATGCATGATTTGACAACAGATGTTGATATTCAAATTTATCTACCACAATAGCAAAGGATATGCAATTACTCTAGCGCAATACAATTGCATGACATCATTCTCAAAATTCTAAGGGGACCTGCAATAGCTTCACACTTTAGGATTCATTTTCAAGAAATTCAACTTCAGAAGGCTTCAACAGCAGAACAAAAGTCTGATTCAAAATCCAACAATTTCTTGGAAATGTGGGAGGAATTCTTAAATTGCCCAAGATATACAATGGACTGTTTCACTGTGCCCAAAAAAAAAAATCTTAGTTTAAGCCACTACTTGTGCGATTTATACCAGCTATTCCATCTGGCTATAAGAGTAGGAAAACCATTTAAAAAAGACATTTAACAGATACTAAAAGCAGTTACCCAAATTTAAGTGCTCCAGCAAACTGTTGAAAAATAATAACAGAAGAAAGTAGCCAACAATCGTTTAGGCAAAGAACTCACACATCTCAGGTAGGCTCAGCAACAAACAGACGCTCTTAACAATCCAAAATTATATGCTTTCAACAGTAAATTTTGACATTGGCAATTCACCAATTCGAAATTGCACAGCGGGTCAACAGGATTTGGTAATTTGAGAAAGAGGATATGTGAAAGGTATTAGACAGAAATGTATTCTCTGTTTCCAAAATGCTTTTAGCTGTGGTCAGTTTACAAGTGGATGGCTGCATTGATCATTTGTTTTGTGGCTCAGATACACCATAGTGCATCAATAGCTGCTTATCCGAAAGCAAAATTTGCTACCAAGTTAGACATGTCAATTTGTCATACAAAATTACCATGCATTAGAATGTAGAAGCAGTCAGTTCAACAAGCTTTTAACTATAATAGCTGGAGATTGACATACTTATTGCAAAATTAAAGATCTTTCATTAAAAAAAATTGATAGAAACCAAACTATTGGTTCACAAAGTAAAAGTTAAGGGTTTCTAAAGTGTATTATATCAAAGTTCACGATGTCCATTCTGCACAAATATATATATATGAACAATGTTTGAAGAGGTGAAGAACATAACAATCTTATAAGATGATGCTTATAGGTTTTCTTGATAACTTTCATGAGGACCATCGAGTTTAACAGAATAATTGCCATGCAAAATTATTGCAAACATGCACATGCACATGCACATGCATGCGTGCCCACACGCGCGCACACACACACACATAGAGAGAGAGAGAGAGATATACCATGTGAAGTATAGAAACTGGAGGAGTACTCATAAGGACAGCTTTCAGTCCAATCTCAGCAGTAGAACTGAAGGTCCCACTGCAACAGACATCAACAGCTTCGTACAAATGGTATAAACCTTCAAAAGATATTGTAAAATGCGGCTGATATACTTTTCTTTTCTGTGAGATCTTCAGGGTTGACATCAATAGTTCTAGAATCAAATCAATGATTCTGGTTTTCTCTTGTATATGTTTAGAACAACCAACTAAGATTCTGTACAGATGAGCTGCAAGTTCAGAAAGCTGCTCTAGGGCATATTTTTGCAACCACTCACTAGTATTTCTAGACATAATAACATCATTGGCTACCTGAAAAAAAGACACACCCCTACATAAGAGGGAAAATGATTTGCATTGAAAGCCATGACTTCAATTATAAAGAGAGATTAAAAGAAATTCAAATAACATATACAAGCCCATTTGTAATCATCTTATTCCACAATGTGAAATTCTAATGCGGATCCCATCTCTGGAGGTTGATATTTGATTTTCAAAAGCAAAAACATATATTTTAACAGAACATGCTTTCTAAAACCGTGTTCATAGTTATAAATGATTAAGGTCATTTCTTTTATGATAGGAAAGGAACTCATAAAATGCTGGAAGGAGCTAGGAGCCAGCTTCTGTTAAAAGCCTAGAGTTTGGAAGAAAACAGAAGACAATGATGTCCGAAGCAAGCTACACACCACCATTAACCCAAAAAGAAAGAGAACAAATTAGGTTCCCATCCCAGAGAAAACAATAAAAGACATGATGCCAAAGTTTTCCAAGACTTATTCATCTTTTGGAGTATACTTAGCAAAATAGTTTGTAAAGAAGAAAGTATAAGAAAAAATGATTATACCTCCAGAACCATAGCTAACTTAGCAAATGAAAAACTTCTCTGGTCCCTGAGTAGAATCCCGTAAAAAGATGCAACATGAGAAGACAGCCAAGAAATTATGCCACAGCGTACAACCAAATGCCATGCAAGCTTATTTATTTTGACGGACTTTTTCACCATCTGCAGAATAAAAAAATAAAATTTAGCTAAATTGATAGTTCTCTAAAGAGAAAGTATCAACTCAGTGATAAGTAGCCTACTGAAGGCCATGAAAATTTCTCCTAGATCAAAATGCCCAGAGTTATAATATAACTAGCAGCTAAGGCACACTGACTAGTTTTCGTGATGGTCATCTTCTATAAGCAATGTTAAAGACAGATGAATGTCGACAGAATCAAATCAAACTTCATCTTCTTGTGGTCTAATTATATAAGTATATAAGATGCTAATGCAGTGCAAATTTAAGGGCTGCTGCTGAGCAAAAAGAGAGGAAGAGGAAAAGGAGAGTAAAGAAAGGATAAAGACATTAAAGCTGTGTTCCTCGAGCTTAATTTTATTTCCCATAAACAGATAAGCAAATTTGAGAACTATATTCTTCCTTTTCTCTGAAGAAGCAGAGAAGGGAATTTCATTGTAGGATAATCATTGGCAGGATAATCATTGGCCTTGTGAGGTATGGAATACTTGGCAACAGATGCTTAAGAAGAAAGAAATATAGAGCAAGGGAAAGATAATATGTTTTTTCCAATTCCACTTTCTTTAATCTTTAACGATTAGAAGTATATGCAGTGACATCACGGGGCAGAGATATTATCAATTTACTGTTCATACTAGTAAAACATGATAAAGCATTATAAAGGTCACACAGAACTTACCACATAAGAACTAATCGACAATGGCCTATCAATTATTTTCAGCTTTTGACGAGAGAATAGGCTGGGTAGTAAAAGAAGGTAAACATTTATCAGGAGCAACCCTATCTTATCCAAACCACACCCTCCCACCACCAAACACACCCCCCCCAAAAAAAAAAAACAAAGAAAGAAGCAGCTTATGAGAAAAGATTAACATTGATTACCTCAACGATCAGTTCCTTTGACTCGTCATCGGAAAGAGGAGAGGCATAAAAATTTAAAAGGATCTCATAAATGGAATTTCTGACAAGTATTTGAGCATCATCATCCATAGTCAGAGATGTGTTTAAAAGCTGAAGCATCCACAACCTTTCCGACTTAAAAGTAACAGAGCTACTCCAGAAGAATTCTTGGAATAATGGTACACCCTTTCACCCAAAGAAAATAAAAATGAGGAACCCTCAACAGAGGTTGAAAAGATATCAAATCAAAAGCATTTGAATTGCTCAATTTATTTGTACAACTCTAGTCCTAAGGTATGCAATATAACAGATATAGACAAAATAACATGGAAAAGCTCTGCAATAGAAGTGATACCTTCATATTAGCACCTGATGACTGCATCAGGCATTTACTTATAGCTGAATAATGATCATGGGAAGAATCTAACAGAACAAAAGAAGCTTCCGCAATGAATACAGCAGTTATGGAAGGAATCCTCTGACACTCTTCTTGTATACCATTTTGCAAGTATGATACTAAGAGCCGGAGTCGCATCACATCCTTCCTCTTGCGACATTTCTGTATCCAACAGTTTATATTATTCCAAGGATAAAGAATATCATTCAAACTACTATACCTAACACAAGCTTTTCAGGCATTTCTGGAGGCCAAAGAAAATGATTGCTTCTTAGTCACTGTATGTATTCCTCTACTTGGTTTAATGACTCGTACCAAAATTCAAAACAACATAAACACACAATGATACCAATAATTGGCTCATGAATAGAATGCCTTAATTCTATGGGCCTTCCAATATGCAAACAATTACAGACGAAAACAATAACAAAACCAAAACTACTTCTACCTCCACAGCACTCTTAAATCTCACAACAGCCTCATAGCCCAATTTCCTTGTATCAGCATCAGGAGAAGACAAACTGATAAATGTAATTGCAAGCAAACCCAAACTAGCAAACTCCAGGGGCTCAATATACTCCATTGCAAGACTGTGAATTGAAAAACGCAAGATGAAAACTGGATCATAAAGTTGCACCTTCTTAGAATTTGCATTGTAGCCCTGCACAGAAATTATAATCAGATTCACAAAAGACCCACCACTAATCTCTGCAGCCCCCCCACCCAAACCTGCCAAGGCCACATACTAAAAAAAAGAGGAGGGAAAAAAAGACCAAAGAAATGACAAATATAATATTCATACAGACATACGGCTAACCTATCCATCTAACCTATCCATCAAAACAGTAATATGCTAGGTATACAGTGGTCTAATTCACAATATACCTCATCAGAATCATCTGTTTGGAGCTTGCTCAAGCTCCCATCAGCAAATCTATCATGAGGAAAACAAAGGACTGTCTTTGCACATAATTTGGTGTCAATGGGAAGATTTTCTCTAAATTGAATCCTTCGTCTCTCTCCAACTACTTCATTATCATATGAGTTACTCAAAGAAGATACACTTTGCTTTTGTTCCCTTTCTTGTCTCACCTTCAGAGAAGCAGAGCCCCATAGAAAATCCATTTCAGCAATACCTTCAGAGACTGATTTATCAATAGCCTCAATTTCATTCATGAGGCTATACATTTCCAAATCAATCTCATCCATGGTTGCTCCATAAGAAGACAAAAGCACCAAAACCAATTCCTTCAAATTTAAGCCATTGGATGTTTCAGAATCAAGATAATGTTGCTGACCCAAGATATGTATTAGTACTCTGAGCAACTTAATCAGTTCCAACTTCTTCATGTGAGGCCCAGTTTCATGAGCATCCTTTTTTCCATCAACCGTGTTTTCTTCAGTATGAAGAACAGTAAATAACCTCATAATGCTGGGTGCCGGAGCAAAACTCATACCAAATTGAGTACAAACAGTTGATGAATGGGCAAATAGAATGGTTGGAGCAAATTGAGAGTGAGCAAGTAACAGCTGGAGAATTGAAATGCACAAGAACTTTCCCTCAGATAGTGAAATAAGAACAATTCTAAGCATCCTAATTGTGGTAGGGTCATCAAACCTATGAAGAAGAGAATATTTGGCAAGTTGGTCTAAGAAAGGAAGCGAATGCAATTCAACCAGGCAATCATGCATTTCTCTTACCAATGCTACTATATTCTTAGCAATGAAGATCTCCAAGAATCTAAACAATGACGACCTTATGTTCTCTCCTTGCCTGCATGTATGAAAATTCTCCACAAGACGTTGCCATGAATGGACCAGCATACTTAAAAATCGGATTCTCAAAATGCTAACTTCTGATTCAATTCCTTTTTTCTTTCCATCTTTCACTACAGATTGAAGATTATTATGCTCTGGAAATAACAACATCCAACAGAGGCATATCTTTGCAATAATTTTGTTCACAAAGTTCAAAGACAACTCAAGAGAACAAACACCAATTTCTCTAGCATCGCAGTCCAGAAGATCATTCTGTGCACTCGCATGTGGGCAAACAGAATCAAATGTACTCAATAGCCTTTTCATTTTCACCAAGTGTCCACTCACAGCAAGGTAATGACGCATCAGCAGTACTGCTTTTCCAAGAAGACTGGAAGAGAAAAGGTTAGAAAAATCTTCCATGCATAAAGATGAGCACTCAACAAGTTTTATCTCAAATATCTCTTCCGAAACAAAACTCTTCCAGTTAGAGAAACCACGCAAAAGGATCTTCCAAAAGAAAGAAGAAGTGTTTTCAACATGCTTGCCAAATTGGCCCCCAAATTTCAGAAAATTTGACCTCAAGTATAACAGAACAGTTGGCAGAAGCATCAAGAACTCTTCAGAGTACTGAGGCCGATTGCAGTTTTCTTCCTTGTTGACCTTAAGAGCTTGATTATTACTAATTTTACCAGAAACCAAATGTCCAAATACACAAAGATGCAGGGAGCTCATCTCAGACAGAAGAAACAAGAAGTCACACTTAGTCTTGGTTGTCTTGTCCAAGCAATAAGAAATAAAGTTCACAGGAACACTGGGTAGAAGTCTTGAAGTAGCCATAACAAAAGGTAAGCTGGTCTTCTCCATACATTTATGCATTTTGATGATCTTAACAGCTTTGAATAAACATATATCAGCAACTTCTAGTTGAGTGTGAGTGGCAATCTCAAATATGCTGTTAAAAATTCTCTCAAAAAGGGTAATTTCAAAACTTCTGTTTCCAGTACCCATAAAGAAATTGAATAATGTCCTCTTTGCATGTGGCTCTAACATATATAAAGAAAGAGAATCAAAAGCCCATGAAGCAATTTGTAATCCAACAGACAAACCACATCTTTGACAAGAAATGGAAACTGCAGTATCATTTAGATCAATTCTGGAGAACAACCAGTGCACCAAATTGAGCAACTCAAAGGGACATATGAATTCACTCAGACTATGCAAAGCATACAATGTAGGAATTAGAGGCATCAAATCATCTGTCTTTCTGGAATCTGTGAACCTCGCCTTAAATGTCAAAAATAGCTTCTGCACCAGAGCCTTGAAAGCCTTTGCAATCCGTTCAGTAGAATGATCAACCACAGATGGTGATCTACATTTACTAAATACATGAACCAAAAGCTCAGATGTGGTTCTTCTTAACAACTGCAAAATATGATGATCTATTTTACGAACACCCCGTTCAGCATACTGAAGAAAGGTTTCTGGAGGTTTCATAAAAATCATGTCACCAACATCATTATCGGTATGCAAAGGCCATTCCAGCAATGCAGTGAGTAAAGGGTGGCCAAGAATTATTTCAGCCACTTCTCGAATATGACCAGATGATAAAGGAGGCAAAACACGCGGGGAGCAATCAGGACCAAATTTTTCAACAAATGATTGTTTTACTATGTGCTTTGCAAGAAAACAAGATGATTCACAAAGTTTTTCAAGTTCATCAGATGGTTTGATTCTATAGGCCAATCGCGCTTGAAGCAAGCAAAAGAGAAGACGGCAGAGAGAAGAGACAGAGAAGTCAGGTGTACTCTCAGTGAATTTATCCAGAAGCAAATTCTGCACTTTTGAGTGACCAAGCAAATGCAATCCATCAGTGAAAAAAATAGCTGGAAAGAGCACATGAAAAGGAGCATTCTTTACTAAAAAAGAGAATGCAATAGAAGCAGAATCTGGTGAATCATCAAGCTCATTAGCTATTGTCTGCCCTTCTCCATCATGAACTCCACTTATAACTTTGTCAACTCCAGCAAAGCATATTTTAGGCCATAACTTGAAAACTTCAGCAAAATGACTTGGTTCGAGAAAGAATCTCAACAACAAAATTGAGAAAGGAACCCCAAGCAATTTAGTAGAAGTAGAGATGGTCGATGGGAAATTCTGCAATATCTGATCAGCTGTGGTGCATATCATTGAAAAAGAAAACCCCATAGTAACTCCAAGCAACCCACAATGATCCTTAGTCCTTAAAATCCTATTAACTTCAGAAAGTGTCTCAGAAAATGAACCACCAAGACCAGTAGCTTTCTCTTCAGACATAAAACTGCTATAAATTTGTTGCTGCACGGTATTCCTTGCAAAATATAACAAACTATTCATCGGCATCCATTCACAAGGGCAGAATCCAATCATATCGCAACAACCTTTAAGTCTCTCTGATATCAAAAGCTGCGTCAGGGAACACAAAAGTCCACCTTCAACCTAGCAAAAAAATCAATCAAGTACTTACAGCCAGGTATAGAAGAACCTGAGTTGTCTGCTTTAAACAGTGTATAACAACATAATCACATCTGAGTACCATAAACAATTAAAGATGAACTGCTTACCTGAGTTTCCAGGAGATACTTTAATGTGGTAGAAACATACAATGATATCATTGACTTCTCGGGCAATGTAAAAGAACCAGTTTCAGAGCTAAGTAACCTCAAGCACTTCTCCAGTACACAAACTATGAAAGGGCTAAAATTGGGAAATGTATCTGCAAGAAGCATCATATTAACTCCAGAAGAAAATGCAAAGCCTATTTCGATAGAAATGAAAGGACTACAATGAAGCAGGAAGATTATCCATTGTTACTATGATTATGAGTAAATAATAGCAATAAGTAGATATTGGTAATTATAGTGTCAGATATATTGTTTAGGCAAGACTTACAGCTAAAATAGCTGCAATTTCAGGGGAAACAAGTAACTAAAAGTAATCTAGTTTCATTAGGGATTAATGCATCATCTTTTGACGCAACAATGAGAATCATACACCTGAGTCAGTCAACAGCAGCCTTAAATAAACAGAGAGGGTCTGTGTTTTCCATATAGAACCACTAGTAAACCTTTCACCATGTAAATCCACCAACAAAACCCAAACCTGACATCAATATTGACAAAACCAATTTAAAAAAAACAGTTCACAGAAGGTGATTTTAACAGCAGACCTCGGAAAGAAAGGGATAATGTAAATATCTTTGATATGTCCTTTAAATTGAATACTAGGGCATCAACAACTCCCAGAATCCGGATAACTTTCAAAATTGCTGGGTCTATCATAAATCAATTGCAGATCAAATTAAATTCCAGACTAATAAGAAAAAACTCTTACAAGGTTCCCAGATGTCAGAAGCGCGGAAAGGACAAACACAGGCCAGTTTCAAGAATGGGAAATTGAATCAGTAAAATATTGTGCTAACCAAAGGTAATTCTTAATAACTACCTAGGACTAGGATAAAAGTATGTCACTTGACACTAGCAAAGTAAATCTTTTTGGAGTTTTCCTTGACTGTGACAAGGCTGGAAATGCCATGTTAGACAGGTACAGGCTACTGATCTTGCAGAGAAATTCAAGGCAAGAAACATTGATTTTTTCTCTTATTTCCTTCAAATTGAACCAACTTCAATTTTAATTGATGGATCAGATAGAAAGTATGAAACAGATCCAAAAGATAACAGTGTTATTAGGTAACTATCGCAATAACCCAGACTACATCCAAACTGGAAATAAAACAAATATAATGTGAATTACCTGTAGAAACGTCTAAATCACGGATATAGCACCTTAAGAGATCCAAATATTTGAACAAGTTGTTCCCAGTAGTAGAAACTGCATCGCAAAGAAAAGAGATGACAACTGAAGACAACTTTTGGAATACTTCAATCCCATGCTTTGGACCATCAATAACCACACTGGTATAGCCAGGTATAAATAGAAACCAAGCAGAAATTTCCCTTGGATTTCTGTCAAATGCACCTGTACTCAACATGGCTGCTTGTGCTAAAGAGTAAGCCTGATCTTTTATGTCTCTTATTGGTGAATACATAAACAAATTGATAAATGAATGAAGATACTTGTACATCAATGGTTGGGTTCTCATGGAAATCTGAGACTTGTTGGACCCAACAACTTGTTCTACAAGCAGTGACAGCATAGACTGCTGCAAAATTGTAGGTAGTGCTAAAGGATTGCTTGGGAGAACTTTAAAGAAGTCAAATGATCCTTCCACAGCAGTAGGCAGAGTCCGCTGCATAAGAGAAAGACAGCACCAATAATTAGGAACAGACCTAAACTCACTTCTTTTCACTTTTTCCAGAGAGGGGTAGTGAGAGCCGATGGGAATTGGAAGGGTGGTTTATCCCTTTTCTTCCAGTAAGACTTTCAATCATAAAGAGACATGCAGTGTGTTTGGATTGTAAATTATTTGAGATATTTTTATTGTAGCACTTTTTGTGATGTGATGCATGTGAGATAAAAAGGTAATTGAGAAGATAAAAAAGATGTATTGGAAATTGTAATGGTGATGTAAACAAATATATTTGGACAAAATCTCCTGTCCAAACACACTCGGCTTCTCAAGAACAAGGGATCATAGTGAATGAGCCACAGCTTGGAGTGGTAGACCTAGATCCCTTCTGCCCCAAACAACCATCTAAATGTCGCAAACAGAAGTCGAAGACTGTAGATGCTCAGAAATGCCATCTTACTCTTCTGTCTAGTAAGTATCAAACAATTACTTCAGAGTTCTCCTATAATGCCATAGCATGAGCTAATGCTACATCAAATTCTATTTTCCTAAATTTGAGCTCACTACAAAAGGTAGTATCATTCCAGCAATTACATAATTAATTTCACAATTAAGTTTAGTTGTTTATCACTAAATTATGCATAAACTGATGTTAATGCATGCAGTTGACTCAGGGCGTATGGCTGTTTATTCAGCAATTCATTGTCAGCCTTTTCCTAAGAGTTAACTTGTCCAATAAACATTGTAATGGTTATGATGTCATTTACATTGAGTAAGTAATGTAACAAAGCAGGGCAGATGCTCTCAGGATATTCATGCTGTAGGTTCAGCCTTTTTAATTTTAAGTTGAGGAAGCTGTTTAATTTCTGTACTCATCTAAATCTATTTGAAACTTTTATTCAAACATTTAAAAACTGAACTTCATTAGCTAGGTATTTCAACTCCGGTCAAGCAACAGACTCATTTAACAATCATATAAAGGAATTTCATCCTCATTTTGTGCTCTTGCTGTGTCATGAAGATGCTTATCTTATCTCTCATGATCATGCAGATCCAAGATTTTCCATATAGAACTTCTTTGCCTAAGAGACACTACTTGCAGCCAGGACATTAGGGATTGTATTGATTGTTTAGCAGCATTCAAAGGCATTTTAAGGACTTGATAACTTTTGTGAATATTAAACAACAGAACATGTTTCCTAATGTGAGACATTGGTAAGTACGTATTATGTGAATAGTGGATTCCTTTACTGTTCCACCAAAAGCAACAATAAATGAGTATCTTACATGATAAATTCTGAAAACATCAAGCAACTTAGAGTAAAAGTATGTGTCCCCATCTTCAGTTCTGATATCTACACTGGAGCATCCCTGCAAACCCCAAATTTCTAGAACAGGCTTCAGGAGGTCAACTCCACCATTCAGCTGATCCTCAACATCCTCTTCTGAAACTCCATCATTCTCAGTCAAAGCCCCTTCAGTGGTTGAACTAACCCCACTGACGAGAATATCCATGTCCTCATCCACGCTATTCATCTTCAACTTCTTCCTCTTGTGCAAATTATGCTCGACTGTAACATCTACATCTGCAGCCCTCTTCATTCTTGATGCAGGACTCTTGCAGTAGCCACTGAGTGAAGAAAGTAGTGATAATAGCACCTGGGGATCAGGAAGTAAAATCTGGACTACATTCTGAACATCTCGCTTGAAAGATGCCCACTTATGCATCACTTGATCACTGGAACTGGACAGATCATTTAAAGAGCCAATTAAAAAGTCGAGAAGCTTTAGTTTCTCCGATACAAGCCTCAGAGTTACATGTTTCACAAGAGGATCAGAGTGAAGCAACCCTTTATTCATTACCAATCGGGTGAATGGGCGTGGCCCTATGCACTTTATAATGTCTTGGACTATCAGATTGTCAATGGATGGGGGCTCCTGAGACTGAGAGTTAACATAGGCACATGTAAATCCATCACCAACTGAGGACATGACATCTGCAGCCAGAGAAATAGCAGAAAACCTGCAACTATTTCAGTCGCAACAAAGGAAATAAATCAAATACCCAAAGTCAAGTAAAAAAGCCAAATATCTAACCAGTTAGGTGATGCCAGGTCTTCAAGATTATGAGGGAAGTTCTCCAAGTATGCTGACCCAAAGGCCGGCCTCCCTTTTACAATGGCCAAAAGCAGGTCTTTGTGGTACTCAACCTCTGTGGGTTTGAGCTTCTTCATAAGATCCACTAATCGCTTCACATTTCCCTTCAAAGGATTAGGCTGCCTCTCTAAATCTGGCATCAACCCGTTAGAAGGATCCGTACACACCATTACTAGCACACTATGCGCCACCTCAGCAGCAAGCCCACCATCCTGCCTCCCTGAAATGCTTATCAATTGCTCCAGAGTAGCACTCCCAAACAACACGCTTCTTAGGCCCGGAGGCACCAACGACTCCGGGACAAGTACTCTATTCCGCAACGTCAGAAGAACATAAACCACAATCTCCTCATCATCAGTTCCCAACCCACGAAGCACCCCTGAATACATATCCTTCTGCTGCAAAATCCCTCTCAACAGCCGCGGATTCCCCACTTCCAAAAATGACATAGCAAAACCAACAAATTCCTTCCTCGTCAAATACCTCCTCATCCCCTCATTCCCCCTCGCCTTCCACTCAGCAAGCTTGGAGAAATTCCCAGTTTTAAAATCAAAACCCTTTGCCACCTCCCACGCCAAACCCGGCCCACGCCTAACTATAGAAGCCAACAACAACAAGACAGCTTTCTGCCTTTTCGCATCTTTACTGTTCAACTCCTCGTACAAATCCCCCATTTTTCCCTCAGTAATTACACGCGCAAACTTATCTAAAGCGCTACTAACAAAACTATAATTACTGACATCTTTATCACTATCTTTTCCAAAAGGATATCTGAAAATTGCCGAAACTAATTTCAAACAGTCGGAAAATCCGGGCTTGCCTTGCCGGAGCTCCCAAGCTTGTTGGAGTTCGACGCATTTTGGTGATGATTGGATGTAAAAGGTGAGAAATTGTGGTCCAGAATCGGATTTGAGGATCTTTATGAATTCCTTTGAGGCGTCTGAACAGAGTTTTGATTGCGTAGAAGTTAAGTTCCGCAAAAGCTCTTTAAGCTTGGCCTGGTGAGATGCCGCATTCACGAATTCTAGAGTTTTTGGTTTGTTATCGCCTTCGTCCTCCTCCATCTCGGCGGAAGAACGGCCGACGGAAAGCCAAAAAGACTAGCCTGATTTCCAATTGGACTCTGTTGTTACTCGGCTGACCGGCGGGTATAAACCCTAAACCATAAACCCTTTTTCTTGAGATGACATGACACCAACCTGTAGCTGCTTTTATTCTGAGTTAATTACACGGAGGCCCTTCACGTCTTCTCCAATATCATTCTAATGACCAACTTTTTTGGTCATTCTCAAACCTTAGCCACTTTATCCCTATATTACATTTTTAACAATTAAGCTATTTATCAAGAAACTTTAGTAAATTTAAAAGCAAAGTATACATACGCTTGTAATAAATGTTTCAAGATAATATCAAGGGCTTGAGATTACGCCCTTAAATTGTTGAAACTCCTTTTCTTTTCCTTTAGTTAATGATACTTATAGATTTTATTTGGATAATATATATTTTCTAAATAAATAATTTAAGTGTGTCGAGACACTCGGCTTAAGAGCCATAATATAGACTTCATTAACGCATGGGTATATTTTCAATCCTCGATTTACTTCATGGTGTGATATCCATTATCATGAGTCGGCAAATAAAATCGTGCTATATATACAAAAATATGGCAAATTAACCAAATGTAATTCATTGACTCATGCGGACTCTAGCTTTAAATTCTTAAATCAAGCGATTGTTTTAACTTCTTAGTAACTTTAGGTAAATATAAATCACTTTCAAGCATGAGGATGCCTACAATTTCTATTTAAAATTTCTCTCAAGAGATAAACTATGCTTCTTGCTTCAGGAAGTAGGAAAACATGATTCATGTTTTAGCATCTCAAGAAGGGTTAAGCCGAATTTTTTTTTTTTTTTGTTACAATAATAACATTTATATAATCTAAACTATCATATTATACAGAAAGGATGAGAAGTCTAAAGAGACTGTTTAAGCCGCGTTCCATTTACTTTACAAATTTTGCAAAGGTCATCTCCCGCGTGCTACAGTATCTTCTCCAAATTCCATTGGTTTAGTTCTTTGTCCATCTGAGGGACCATTACCTGACTGACTAATAATGAAGCGTACAGCTTTGGTATAGCTGTATGAGTCAGGCTGACAAATTATGAGGCAGACAAAGTTTCTGGTACAAGTCCGACAAAAACCAAGACTGAGCACAATAACAAGAAGAGCTAATGCAAAGATGCCAAGGCCTCTCATCAAGTATTTCAGTTCCTTCTTCAAGTTATGTTTTGGAATTGCAAGTACTCGGCCCTCTTTCTCAGCCAAAAAGTACTGAAAAAAGTGTAGGACATTGCTCAGAAATACTCCCATAGTCGAGCAGTTTTTGTCTAGGGGAAAGTTTTCTGCCATTTTGATGGTTTTCTGCTTGGTGGAGTTTCTGGTGGGGGGTAGGTTTCTGCCAGTCCCACTAACTATCGCATGACTTTGGTATCTCAATAGGACTGCCAAACATTCATAATAAAGTAATGCTGTTTTCTTTCCAATCGATTTTACCTTCTTTTAAGGTTTTCTTTCTCAAGTGTCTCTATCTAAGGTATCGGCATATGGACTACTTTGAAAACTAGTTAGCTCAATCCAACACATTCGTGTTTATTTGACTGGTTATTTTCGCAGTTCTCAGCCGCCATTAAAACTTTAAAAAAGAGGCCGGATGAAGAAAAATACATGCATTAAAAACCTAGTACTAAAGGTACAATTATTACTTTTGAGAGCTTCGAAAAGATTTTTTATTTTTAAAGAAGATGTTTTATTTTAAAAACTGTGAGATTATTATTGTAACATAGACATGTCTGCCTTGCATCCCTCGAGTATAATAAAAAGAGAGGGTGAGGGATTGTAAAAGTCTCTCTTCTTGCCACATATAATACTCCCTCCGTCCCATTTTGATAGTTTTGTTTCTTTTTTCACACAGTTTAAGAAAAAATAATTAACTTTGTTGGAAAAGTAAATTTAGATTGCTATTTTCTTAAAATATCCTCACATTAAATATGGTACAACTTTATGGGAACTTAAATTAATGGTAAAAAAAGAATCAACTCTCTGAGATAGGTTTATAGTAACAACTACTTACATTGAATAAGGGTATTTTAGAAAAATTAAAATACAATTACATTCTTTAATTGGAAAGTGGACTACAAATTGAGACAGATAAAAAAGGAATACAAGACTATCAAAGTGGGACGGAGGGAGTATTCTTTTTATTGACAAGTGGCACATCTCTCATTTCTTTTTCACTCCATTTATTCCTTTTGTTTGGACTCAAAATAGTCCAAGATATAGTTGCTTCTAGATTTACTTGATAGTTACATAAATGACAATTCTGTTATTAAGCTATACTTATGTCAATTATGTCTTTGTTATGTGATTAGGAATGGTATGTGAGCTTATTGATGATGTAGTCTTTGGACCATACAATGTGAAATTTGTAGTAATAGGGACATAAATAAGAGTATTTTGGAGGGCCAAGATTGTGCCTTACACAGCCTAATTCCCCTGGTATAAAGCACATGAGAAGAAAGCTAAGTTACTACAACAACCCATGCTTTTGATACATGTATTGTTTATATTTTTGACAATTATCAGTTTCCATTTTTAGTTAAATTTTTGCTCCACTGTTTTCTTTGATTAGCCAAAAATTATAAACATTATTTCTCCCAATTCTTTTCTTCTTTCTTTTTCTGCCTCTGCCTTTAATCCTCATCTCCCTATATTTTCTTCAACTTTCTTTTTTCCCTTTCAAATTTTTTCTTTATAATTAATTATACTCAAATTGTTTTCTTTCTATTTTTTAGGTGATTATTATTGACCACACAACAATCAACTGATTTATACTATTACTTCTTCTTCTATTAATTTTAAATCTTTAATCCAATATTTTGCTTTTCTCATTTTTTTTCCTTCATCTTAATTTTTCTCTACCTTTCCTCCTTCCACTCAGTCAATACATCCTTTCTTATTTCTTTTATAATTAACTGAATGCATGTGTTTTCTTGTAAGAGAAAGAATATTTCTTTTCTTTCCTTGTTAAAAAATCATGATTCATTATCATCTCTTTCTTTTAGGGGAAACATAGACAATAGATCTTTTATCTCTTCTACTCCTACTGTGTGGTATGTTCCATTTTATTTTTATTCCTTTTTTTTCCCACTTCACTCTATCAAATATGGACTTTAAGTTTTTTTTTTTTTCATTAATTGTATTTTATTTAGCCTTTATCATTTTTCCTTTTTTGCCTCTTTGTCCTGTTACCACGGTGTATTAATTTATTTTGGCTTGATCTCCTTGATATTCATTTAGCCTTCCATTATTTAGGTCTAAAATTTGATTCTCCATATGCGAGGTTTATCTTGAATCTAAATACAAAATGTGTATTTTGCAACTATGATGTTTTAGTTCCCTTTCAATACATAATTGAATCTTGCACTTTTTAGTAAATCTTTGGTACTAAATTTCTGTGCCGTTTCTATGCATTGGACAGCCTTCCATTCGAATTTCTTACAAGTTTTGTTGCGAATTTGTAGGATGGAAATTTTTACATGATGATGTCTCGTTTGACAAAAAAAATAGTGGAAAAAATTTACGTGTCTGTAATTATAATATTAGCGTGTTATTTGAACTTTGTGAAGCATATATCATTTATATTAACATTGTTTTACATTTCTCAATTCTCATGTGTTTGGTTTTTGAATTATTTACTGTTGTTTGTCCATACAATACAGTAAGAAAAATCTCTACTGCATCACAATAAGTAAGTTGGAGCAAACTTTTGGTACGTTCCACTAAAAATAAACATTATTTTTTAGACTCATATTTTGACAATTGTAATTGCTCTTTATTTGAGAGCAAATTATAATGTGATCAGTTTTAGTTAGAAATCTGTAGGTGAGCCTAAGCTGGGCTGACACAACCGGGTTCCTTCTGGTACAGCTACAATTCCCCAGTTTCATCCTTTTTTTTTTCCTTTTTTTTTTCATATGTTAAGTGTTTCTTTTGTTCTTGCTTCATTTTTCTCTTACGAGGATAAGGACGAAAGTCTGCAATTGCAAATGTTTTGGTCATTTGATTATGTTGACCTGATGACATTGCCTAGGAAATTTATTTGACAAACAGCTCAGCCTATCAATTCCAGTAAGAGCCTTCATTATTATTTTCTGACGCAAAAAAAAGTCTGTTTTAACTTATATAACAATTATTTTCGAAAAAGTTGACGCTTAAAAAACCTTTCGTGCAGAAAACCAGAAATGAAAAAGGGGCTTCATAATCCTGATCAACTGACACCTTATGCAATGATCAATTAAAATAAATCCCCATGTCCCAGCAATCCGCCATTCTGGTCAACATTACCTCTGCATCCCGACCTTATTTGAACAAATCCCCAAGTCGTGAAGGCGCCAACATCCAAACACGGCCTGGACAGTGAAAAAGACTTTTTCACTTCAAAACCACCAATTAGCCCGCACGGCCTCTCTCGCCTTTCTGGCCTTCGCCCCACAAAACATTCTCTACGCATTTCCTTTCTTTCTTCTTCCTGTCTGCACTCTCTGCGATGATCACAAATCTAGCCCAATTCCTGTCGTAATCCAACTCCTAAAATCTCCAAATTCTTTGAGACGGGGTCGCAAATGAAAGTAGATTAACAAAACTTGAATATCTGCGTTAATCTAATTCAAACAAAGTCACTCACTCTTCACACGAGAGGCTTTAATGTGATACGTGGAGCTGCTTCAATTTGTATGTCCACCAACTGGTAAGAAGCACGTCAATCCTTCAACAAAAATGACCTCTTCCTAGAACCACATAAATTCGCTGTTGTAAGGTCTTATTTTTTCTGTGCTCTTCTAACCTGGATTAAGATTCTTAAAGATGCTAACTTTACGGTGACTAATATGTCAGGATTTCCCGCCCACTTAATTGCTGGCTCCATTACTAGTTCACTCTCATTTGTCTCGTAAACTTTAAGACCTGTCAAGACATGATAACATCCAGTCAATGAGTATGCATATACTGAAAATCATGATTAAATTTTCTAACGATTTTAAACATCAAAGAGACGTGACTATATATGCCCTAGTACTTAAAAGAAGCTATTGAACTGTGACATAACAGAATCAAAGGGCACATGAAGCAGCAACTACATTTGCCACCAAAACTCTAAAGGAAAAACTCACCATGAATTGTTGGTGAAAGAGTTCCAAGGCTTATTTTTTCAAATTCAATTGATTCTATCTTACACATCCCTATGTAGTCAGCAAATATAGGCTCTGCTATGCTTCTAATGGTTCCATGGCTTGCCTGTAGAGTGAATGAACCCGAATTTACTATTTCTGATCACGAACAATAAAGTCTTAATCATCACAAAATTACCTTATCAATGAAAGGCCACATGTCATGAATAAATTTGTTTAACCAGTCTACCTGCGTGACCCACAATGATGGTTCAAAGATCAAGAAATCAGAAAACGTGATTAAAAGAAATTAAGTAAACAGCCTCATCTGGAAGAATTGAAGACAAAATCTTACCCTCTCATAATCAGGATTCTTCACCCACCATGGAATTTCAGGCATAAGATCTTGCATTTCAGTTGTATCGAGCTTGTCAAGTGCCTTGCCTTTGGGATCCTGTAAATTCAAATAATTGCCTCAATAGGCGAATCTGTTCTTATCCATGTTTAGATAAAGCATTTAAAAAAACATCTTTCATGTTCTTCATGTGTTGTTCTGCAAGCATTTGAACACGGAAATGGATATCTAAAGACATAAAGCATGCAAAATTGACTGACCGCAAAAGGATCACTTGAATTTGCCACACAAAATAAGCAGTAAAATTTTCATATGCATGATACAAATACACAAAATTATTGCAACTTTTAGACAGCAATCGGACAATGTTGATTAAGCCTTATCTAATTTCTTTATACACAACAATCATCATTACAATCTCCATCTTGCATACTTATTTTCTTTTGTACCGTGAACTGTTTTCATTCAATGAGGATCAGCACATAATGGCATTGAAATGCAGGTTATTCCATATTGCTGCAACAGTGGAATTGGATTGTTTCAGTCATTGGTGTAAAGTGTAAGCCCTTTAAAAGCAGGCAGTTAGATGTTTAAAAGCGGGTAGTTTGAGTTTCATGTTGGACTAAGAATGGGATTTGGCTTCCAATAGAATATCTCCCCTGCAACATCTGGTGCATACCTCCTCCAGTCCACGGAAGAGAGATTGGAATAGCAAGAAGAGGCTAATTCTTAATTGGAAACAGCTGGTATGACAGTTCCTTTTACATCTCATTCAAGATAAACTTACAAACAACAAATATAATCTTTCATGCTCCTTCACCTAATTGGAAAGGTTCAGAAACATGTTCATTTGGGGGGAGAAAAAACCAGAAAATAACCGATGCATCAGATAGAACCTCCAAATTTCTTAGCAGCATCAAGGGATTTGAAGCTGATGATAACACAAGGCAAAAGACATTGGAACAGAACCCTGAAACGCATGATCATGCAAAACTTAACAATAGAATGCACTAACAGAAAATCAGGAAAACCCATCAAATAACAATACGCCTTGTAACCATAAAAGAAATCATCAGACAGAATTTAGCAAGACTTTCAAAAAACAGTTCTAAACTCATTCAATAATAATAAAATAAAGGAATTCAAGAACTACAAGAACTTTAATAACTGATCACCTCAACGTGTTCAGGCTCCGCATAGATGAAAGATAAAAACCCAACACGATTCCAATCAGAGACCCGACCAAGAAACCAAAAATTCCGAAGAAAGTGCTCAGGAATCCCATGCGGATTCTCTGCTTTTCCCTTCTCAACTTTAACAACTGACGCACATACAGTCTTTACAGAATCGAGGAATTGAAGCTGGACGAAGGCAATGCAGAATTGGAATATAGATGGAAAGAAGAACAGATTAAAAAGGTAAAAACCAGAACAAGAAAAATTAAGGTTGAAGGAATTGTTATTGTCGATAGAATCTAAGAAGCAAATTTATTTAGTCATCCGGTGAAGTCTACACTCTACAGGTAACGACTAACGAAGAGAGGGAAAACGAAACCGCCAAAAACAGAGACACGGTGTCAAATACTTCAAAAAGCAGCCAAAAATTTGTTCCAGGCTAGGCTTTAACTCGGGCTGTGTTATTCAGCACAACGACAAAGTCGGAAGAATAAATTCTTGCGTCAAAATACTTGTCCGCTTGTCAGCTGTAAAATTGTAATCCTCTGAGTTTACTCAAAATGAATGAAATTCGGAGATACTTCATTAAAATCAATTTGCAGAACTGGGTTAGCACTATTTTTTCCTCAAAGTACCAAGGGTCTTCATGACAACATGAGCATAATGAAAATGTTAAATTTCTGATAAATCAAAAAGATTGGGCGGTTTCGAAAAATCTCGAGAGATATCTTTACAATAATTAAAGTCTGTATAGGTAATTAACTTGGTATTAGCTTTGTATATTTTTAAATTTATCCTTAGCTCTATATCAATTAATCCTTATCTTTATTATCTATTAATTCTTATTTCTATTATCAACTGATGTCCACTAAAACTACCTCCCTCCAATTCTCACATTCTTCCTTACCAACGATTTTTTTTATTTTTGCTTGCATTATTTTTGTAATTCTTGCAATTAAAGATATTTTTTAATAAATTACACATGCATCGAGAGTGTGCCTCCATCGCTAGTTATATATAAGCATCTATACGTGCCCAAGCGATGAAATCTTTGCACAAAGTATTCCTTTTGCCTCCTAGAAGATAACTTTCGGATTCCAGCATGAATTTTAAAGTAGAGAGGGTTAAAAATTCTTACCCATGTAGTAGTTTAACCTTTCGATGTCTTGCAGATGGATTATTATGTGATTTTTTGGGAAATTGGTGGATTCTCATTGACCAGCTTACGTGTTAAGATTGAGGATTGCTATAAATTAATTTATTTCTCGTCTAAATTGAATGGACACGAAATACAAAGTTGACTGTCTGCATGTCAATATCCCTGTCACGTATTTAAGTTTGACGCTGATACATCATCTAACAGTCCCACCTAAGCTAAAGCAAAGGAAACTCATCATGAAATTTGGCAATTTGGGTAATAAATTATCTTTTCTGGGCCGACGGGGGTGAAGAAATAAATTGTAGTAGCAACTAGGAAAAAAAGGATTAGATATTAGACACGTCAAGAAAATGGAGAGGAAAATGTTAACGGAAGGAATGAAAGTCAGATATTAGGCATCTTTTATTCTGGCTTTGAAAACTATATAGTACATGTTATTATTCGTCAAGGGCGGCAAATGCCTCGATGACCAATGATTTGGCAACAAGCTCGTTAATCGATAATTTTGATAAATCCAACTCAATCACCATTAGTATCATTCCACTTGAGCTAATTTCAGAAAAAATTAACAACAGACGAATATTTTAAAACTAAAATTTTATCAAAGAGGTACGTGAGAAATCACTATTGATTCTCGTCCCAAAAAAAAAAAAGGAGAGAGGCTATAATAGAACTTATCAACAGCATTATTGTATTGAATAACATCTGCTATTTTGATTTTTCTCAAAAAAAAAAGAGAGTTATAGTTCTAATTCTAATTCTACTTAAAATTCTAATAGACAGAAAAGGCAAATCGACCGGAGGAAAAATCAACAACATTAGGACCATGTCAACAGCAACAACTACAACGGGCTATAATTAATTGCATTCCTCCTGCAGCTTTTGTTTGTGGGCTGTTGTATCTCTTGATTTGGCTTTATTAATTAGGAGATTACAGCTGTTAAATCACTTGAGTGCTGAAAAATCAAAGAAAGGCGTCCAAGTGGTTAATTTAATTGCTCTTGGTTCCGGGGAAATCAGAGGTTGTTTCTCAGCTTTGTTTTTCTAGGTGTGCTTTGTCTCCTGGAAACTCCTTGATCATGTTTTGTTTAATAGTACTACTAAAAGATATCGTGCGAGTTGTTTCCTGCGAACCAAACCATACATTTTCCACCATGTGGAATAGGAATACCAAAACGATTCCTCCCATTTCTAGACGAAGTCAGAATCCAACAAGTGCATGTCCAAAACTTTTTTTTTTTTTTTTAAAAAAAAAAGAAAACCTACACGAAACGTTAAATTCAAACAAGAATGCAAATATACTACAGTACTAAATTAAAAAAAGATGATGTGAACATATTGAATTTTCAAGGAGAATGCACTTCTAGAAGTATGATAGATCTACGATTTTCTATTTTTTCGAAAAAAAAAAAAAATCTATAATGTTGACCGAGATTTACTTCCATCTATCAGCCCATATTTATTATATATAGGACTTGTTCTCGATTACTTTAGATTTTATAAAATCTGATTATAGAAACAGATCATGATGGAGAGTAATTAGAATCAGCAAAAATTACTTTTTGACTCGTTATAGATTTTAGGTTTTTTTTATCACTATAAAATCTATAATTAGAATATAAAAGCAACTGGAACATCACAAAAACTAAATTATCTGAAATCAAAATCCATTAAAATAATCAATTGAAAATAATACTTCCATCATTACGTTACATGATAAAAACCTCCGTGGTCTGTACGTTTGACAATATTGGGTTTTTTTTTTTTTTAATTTAACCAAGCATATTGAACTAAGACACGCAACTTGACCAATTCAATAACTCAGCAATCATCACTAAAAATGTTTCCATATTGTTTATTTCATTGGCTTCCTTAGCTCTTAAGATACAGATAGAACCTGTTTGGTGCTTTTGAATTATTCTCTTCTACTCCCAGTGCATGTGGCAAACTTGTCAAATGGCAGCGTCAAATCACACATTTGAACTCCGGATTCGGCACCTTTATGATTCCAAATGCAAATTTCTCGATACTTTTCAAATCAAAATAATAAATTAACAACAAAAAACAAGATCTAGAGCAGAAGAAGAAATTAAGGTTGACTGCTGGCTGATGATTAAAAATGAATCAAGTCAGATTGGTCTGGTGATACCTCTATGTGCTAGTATATATATATGGATTAATCTTTCCTACACTGACAGTGTATATACTATCAGCGTTGGATGATTGACAACTATGCAAAATTTGAATTTGAAATTCAACGTTTGTACACATGTCATGAATCCAACGATGATAGCGTATACACCGTCAGTGTAGGAAAGATTTATTAATTATAAGATAAAAGTGTATCATTATTATTAAAAGATCTTACAGGATTTGGTCAAATTTTTTTGAGTAAAAAACGAAATTCATCCATCGATTGCAAATAATAATAATGTATATACCCTACTACGAAAGATGGTTGAGCTAATAAGGCGTGCCTGGAGGTAACTTGTCCCATCCACCTGGAAGGAAAAGGGTTTGAGGTCGGTGCGATTGTCCAATTGTTACATGAATTTGGTAAATGCTAGCATTACTTTATTATTGTGTATGTAAACTTTGTTCATGATGATGTACATTGTAACTACTTCATTCATTTGGATGGATGACGAGTTTTTTACCGTATTTTTAATAGAGAATTTTTTATTTTTTATTTTTTACAATTTTATTTACAGTAACCTTTAAAACACTTCAAAATTTTTTAAAATATACACTTCGAAAACCACAAAAATGTTTCTTTTTACCTTTTTCCTTCTTTCTCCTCCCCTACCTTAATCTAGCACTGTCGACCGGTACTTGACCGACAAAAGTTTTTTTTTTTTTTTTTTCGTAAACATGCATTAATTTACACAAAAGAAGTACGAAGACAAACGCACTAATTGTACTAAATTTTAATTGTACCCGTCCTAATCCCATCAATGGTGGTAGTATACGTTAAAGGTGAACTGAGTTGTGTCGAGTTGAACTGCATATCATCGACTTGGGCTTTATGCTATCACAGCTTCCATGATCAGTCAAGCACGATTTCGATCATGGCATTGATGATTGATTGATGAGAAGAAGAGCACAACACACCACTTTTTGTTCCTTTTATATTTAGACGTCCGGGTATAGATTTTTCAGTTCACCATCTTCTCGTGAGGCCCATTTACAGATAGGGCCGGTTCTCAACAGCCTTTGTGGAAAATCCACTTTTCATTTAGAAAAACCCATGTTGTGATGCCACCCGCTGGTTTTTCTTCCAGTTCGTGCTTTTTAGGAAGCTTTAATAAAAGTGCTAAGACCAAGAGCCTATAACAAATCTATTTTTCAGATTCTGATTTTAAAAATTTAGGAACTCAGCTAATCCAAAAGTAATACATATGACGGGTTTGGCCCAAGTTCATCATCCATCAAAAGACAGTTACCCAATGGGCCAAAGTTTTGTCTGCTTAAAACTAAGAACATTCATATTTATTGGTGTTAATGTAAAGGATCACATGAAGAACAAGTTAGTGAGCAGTTGGACATGATGCATCAGCGTAGCGGTCCAGTCGCTGATCTACTTGCTTTTTTTTTTTTTTTTTGGTCCTCATAGTGGGTATCTAGGGCCCATGGACTGATAATACCGTACGACCCAATTAATCCCACTATATGGATGGAGAGAGAGAGG